TTGTTCTTATGATAATTTTATTCTAATTAATTTGATTCTTTGAGATATTGAATTTTTTTAAAAAAAATTTTTTTGGCCCATCCCCCTTTTGCTGTGGGGGGTCCCATATACCTTAGGGTACCTGTATATAACTCCTACGCACTTACCTCGTTTAATAACATCGTAACGACACTATTTTCACATCTATAATCTTCCAATGAGCATAAGATTATTAACTTATTGCCCCGTAGTCTGCTCTTCCTATTATTAGGTCCGTCAGATTGGTTTTTTGGTCTTATCAATTCGATTGTTCCTTCATCTTCTAATCTTTTTATATGCTGGTATAGCATTAAAAAATTGTATGGCATGTTGATATATCAATCTACATAAGTCAAAATTGCTGAGAATAAATGAGTTATTATATTGGATGTTTCGAAAGCACCAAAACGTGCTCCTTTTTTTTCCGATGTGACATTATACATAGAGAACATTTATGCAAACATAAATAATCATTGTGATCTTTATGCATGAGGTCACTTTAAAAAAAGGAACCGTGTGTTGGAACTTTTGAAACACTGGTAGAATGTTAAAATAATTATGTTCCGAGACCCATTTTTTAGGGTTTAATTTCAACGCATCAACATTTCCGACATAAATTATTACAAAAGCCAAATTAACAATACGACGAGATCATATTTTACAAATCCATAATCATTTATAACTAAATCTAATTAAATTAAAGGGATTTTGAAAAAAAGGTCAAATTCAAAATCCGCCATATTGTGTAAATATCGACTATTTTTGTTATTGGCAACTTCTATTTGTACACTATGTGTATACGTATACACACGATTAAGTGCAACGTAAAATTATTTCCAAAAATCATTTATAACTAATCATTTACAACGCAAAATTTCGCTTATAATTCATTTTTTTGGGCATTGATAAAAGAAATTCTTTACGAAATTTTGGTAAACAATTCCCGCCTCCATCCTTACCCTAACTTTAATTTACGCTTATTTTGATTTGTATAATACACTACGTATAATCTAAGAATAGAAAAGTTTTATCTTTTATAAACAAAATTTGGTCATATTAGTCTATAAGTATTGTGCATAATGTTTCTTAAAAAAATATTCAATTTTTTAAAAAAAGATTTCAAAAATAACCATTGTCAAATATGGATTTTTTCGTGACCATAAATGAAATTAGCCTACTTAATGTAAAGGGTTTTTGTAGTCACAGAAAGTGGTGTTGCTAGTGAATTAATTTATATATATCAGATATTGTTATAAAAATGACATTAGATATATTGCAGGAGTATTTAATTCGAAAAAATTTTGTACTATATTAGTTGATAAACAAAACTGTTCATTGGTGAAAGTAAATGGAAACTATAAAATTTAGTTCCAGCAGATCTTATTAATTCTTCATTGAGAAAGATTAACAAATTCGGGCTTTCTGAAATTATTAGACCTTAATATAACTGGATGATTAGAAAAATTAAAGATAGTACTATTGTTTTAGCAAATAGTTGCGCGTTCCGTATTAAAAATCCACATTTGATGGAGGTTATAACCCATCAACATAGGCACTATTAGTTATTACGGGAAGGTTTGGAAGCGATTGATGAACAATTAAGGCTATTGAAGATGCATTGATGATGATTTAACAATACAAAGGACTCTTAAGTAAGTAGGCAGGTATTAATTTCAATAACGGACAGGCCAAAGGAAATTAAACTTGGAGCATATTTCGAATAAATGATGAGTAATTCGATAAAATTGACAACTACAGTGCACGACACTTAAAGCTCCATTTTTAAATTTAAAATTTAAACTTTAATTTATTTTAAAACATTGATCTTTATGATTTTAAAGTAGCTTAATTTTGATTGGCAAATTTCTTAAATCTTGACTGGTTAAATTATTTAAAATTTTATTATATAAATTTAAACTAATTTTGACTGGCTATTTTTTTAATTTGTCCAATTTTTAACTGTTTTCATATGTGATCATATAAAATACTATATTTTTAAAGCTATATCTTATAAAAAGTTATTATAATTTTTTAAAAATAAAGCACTATGTTGTAGTAAATTGATTAAGTTACAAAATGGTGGCTTTCTTTTCTAAATACCTTTTCTAGATTAAACGTTATTGGCTTTTAAAGTTTGTGTAGTCTTTAAGTGTCATGTACTGTAGAAAGATTAAACCATTTATTAAATACATCAACTGTTGCTATTTATTAAATACATCAACTGTTGCTATTCATTAAGTACATAAAAAATATTAGAATATTATTTCATTGTAGCTATTATTTATTTAATTTATTGACTTTACTGCTCAATATTTGCCTTTATAGCCCCATTTAGCTTATTACACCTTTCTGTATGATTATGCTTAAATATAATTTAATTGTAGAAAGACCCGTATCCATTGAATAAAAATTTTGACATTTGCCACCAATTACAACTTGCTCGCCCCAAAAGGGATCCTTCTTCAATCGCTTTGAAGGATGGTTTGATATTTCTTTGAGTATATTAGATGCAAATTCAACTTGATATGTTGAACTTGACAAATTATTCGGGTGTGGTATTTTCGTTCATTGTACAAGGTTCAAATAAATAAATAAATCAAAATGTAACTTTTAAATTAAATAAATCACATCATCATATCACGCCATAATAATTAATCTTTAATTACAAAGTTAAAAAAAAAGAAAAAAAAGAGTCAATTACAAATCAAGAAGTTTTTTGCTCATCAAATCGATTTCATAAGTTTAAAATATAATAATTAATATGTGACTACAAAAACTCAAGTTTAACTGATTCTTGTTTCAAACAGGGTCTAACTGAGTTTAGCCAAACAGGAAAATTATTGGAAAATTATTGAACAAAATGATTTAAACTATTACGTATATACGTTATTGCAAGGATAAAAGAGGGTAATGGGATAAAATTATTATATCACAATAATCTATCCATTCATACTAGAAGGCCACAATATTAAAATTTAACATATTCCAAATTTTAGCCATTTCAACATTTAACAATGTTAAGATTTTAAACTCTGTGATTGTTCTGAACAAAGCAAGGCCCATATAGTATCATATTTGCAGTTTAAATTTGAATACATGAATGATGAGAATCTATTGAATCGACTCTTTCTAAATAATTGCTATAATCGTGATAATCAAATATTAACTTCCAAATTTAAACGATGATTATTATATTATCGAATGTCTATTTAAAATGTGCAGATAATCCTGTAATGTATTATTTTGGAAGTTCTAAAGATTTGATTAGTTTTCATTTCTGTAGTCGTCATAATAAAAAAATTACACTATACAATTATGCTGCAATGTTATATAATTTACAAGCTAATCAAATCACTAATGATAATGCATTAGTGTTTAAAGTTAATTGACTGTCATTAAAAAAAATATTCCATATTTTGATGTAGCTAAGTCAGCAGAACAAAAATGGATATGCTAAAATAACAGCTATCCACCATTTCGAATAAAAAATAGTTATAAATTTAATGGAAAATACAGTATATATAGTTTTTTAAAGAACAAAACTTAAATTTGCAAGCATTCAATGTTCCGATACTCCAAATTACTCTTTTTTAAAATATTCACAAGAAATATTCTGCCATTGAATAATTAAATATATTCCTGATAGGTTTAATTGTTTAGTTGGTTATGCTGTAATAAAGGAATCATAAAATTCACAGTCTAGCACGATATGAGTTTAGAAATAAAAAGAGCTTAAGAAAATAAACTAGTAAATTCTTAAATCATTATTAAAAATACAAAAGTGGATATCTATCAAATAAAAAAAACAACCCAAAATTTCACAATTTATTTCTAATATTATTTTCTAATAAAAACGCAATAGGATTGCACAAATTAAATCTTGGCTGGACATCCACAAAATGTGTTTTCTGCAGAAAATTCAGTATATGACCTTAAGTCAAACTAAAAATGAAAGACATTTAAAAATACTATGCAAAAACACTGGTACACAAAGATAAAAAAGAATTATTATTATTAAAAAATCATATAGATGATGAATCATTTCAATTATTGCCGTCCAAATTAATTAAAAATGGCGTCGCCTTTTAAAAACTTTTTAAGTTATAGATGATATTTATCTAAAACTGTATATCCAAAAATTAAGATTATTTTCGAAAAGAAATCAATGCAACAACAGAAGGAATTAGAAATGCAGTGACTAAGATAAGTTTCACTTATTCAGTTCAAGTATATCATATATCTTATTCATCTTGATTTAGTTTTGAGTATATGTTAGTTTCATTCATTTATTTTAATTTAATAATTATTACAGTAATTAATAAACTTTATTTATTCATTTTAGTAACAAGATATTTATTAGTTAAATTATTAATAGCTATTTATGTTCTTATTAAATTTTAATGCCGCTATTGTAGAAAATAGGGGCCCCACCGGTGCCCTTCTACCCTTGTATATTATTAAAAAATATATAATATCAGATTTAAAAGGATCTAGGCAAAGAGCAATATAAAAAACATTAATGAAAATCTAAGTGCTACGAACTTCTAGTTCTATTCAAAACTAGCCTTAATTAATTATTAAGCATTATAAAAATTAACTACTGCAGTTAATGATGGTAGTCAACTATATTAGTAGAATTAATTAGTCACTAAAAAGATTTTTTTTAAAAAAAAGACGCAGTTGTTTCAATCAAAATAAAATCAGATAGCATGTAAAAAATAGAATAATTTTGGTCAACTAGAATATCAAACAAGAGACAAATGTACATACTGGAAAATCAGTAATCTAATTTTATACATGATAGCAGAAGCCGATTTTTAAATATTGCCTTAATTAAGTCAATAAATTTAAGTCGATTACAAACACTACTGACAGTAAATTAGGCAGCGAAGCCGCTACACAAACATGTGCTAGTTATTTATCAAAAAATGAAATTTGCAAATTTACGCACTATTCATTAGCAGTCACATGATTTGTCACTCAGATCACAGGGTAAATTTTTTACTATGAAATTTGAGTAATTGACATTCATATGATCGATTCATTTTTCATAGTAAATTGCAACGTCAGGCCCCTCTTTAAATGGCTTTTTTGGGGGTTTCCTAAAAGGAAACCACAATCACGAGATAATAAATAGCACTTTAGTTACATACACGCTTTCTTATTTTTAAGCCTAAAGTGATATAAGTTGTTAAGCTGAGAA